GAAGAGTTAATATGGGCCTTGGACTGCGTCTCGTAAAATACGCGCGCAGGTCATATTATGTAGACTATACGTGAACTAAAAAATGCGTGCATACGTGCGTATTACGGAACGCAGCCTTAGGCGCGTGTCGCGGACAACAAAATGTAGACTGAGTTCGCTCGGATCGGCGGACGAGACGCGACACGGCGCGCAAAACTTTTAATCAATTTCGCATCTGACTTAATAAAGCTTGCGTGGATAAAACGGGTAAAACGCGAAATTCGTACGGAAATGTGAAACGAGACGCCAGCGAAAAGCGCAGCCGCGTGTGTCTCGCTTTGGTGTCCTCTGGAGACGGATCTTGGAAAAAGGTACCTCCGGGAGACGTTTCGTTGAGCGAGCGCGATCCGCAAAGTAAATCCTAGATATAAATCATTGAAAAATTTACGAAAAAGGAGATTACGCGTTTACGTGACTTCAGACGTGATCTAATATCGAGGGTGGAGGACATGTGCGCATGCGCGCACGCGAGTTGCAGGAGTCGCACGATTCGCCGCGTAAATTACTTTCCTGTGTCGCATAAATTACTCTTCCACGAAATTGCGTTTTTATTGCCGAGCGAAGCCCGCGCGTCCGGGGGAACTTTTAATTTTTATCAAAATGTAAATTGTACATCGCGCGCGAGCGCGGACGGCCGCTGGCCATTTGTTTACCGTGAGGCCGCTAAGAATTGCATTCGACCGGACGGGACTGTTGCAGTTTTTCGAGACTGCGCCAGAGGAAAAGAGAGAGTAGAGAAGGAGAGAGGGAGGGAGAAAGATAGAAAAAGGGAGAGAGGAAGATAGAGAGGAAAAGGGTGGAGAGGGAAGAGAGAGAGAGGGAGAGAGAGAGAGGGAGGAGGATAGAGGAAGAGAAAGGGAGAGGACAAGAGAAAAAGAGAGAGACGGGTCGGGATACTTTAAAAATGAAGCCGGCCGTTTCGCATGCGACGGAAGTTCGACGTGCACAGAGGTTTTCGCGGGGAAATCACGCTGAATGCATATCCCCATTGTGTCTCCCTTTTATACTTCTCTATTTCGCGCGTGTCGGTACGTGTACGTGTGTGTATGTGTATACATATACGCGTGGAAAAAAAAAGTTAGACGAGTTTTTTTCACGACGACTTTCGCTTGATTACAAAGCGCGCGGCCCGGTTCGCCCCTGATATCGCACATCGATTCGAGTTTTTTTTTGGCATCGAACTGAAGCTCGCTGCCTTCTCCCTTGTTTAAAAGGAGAGGGAGTGATTTGTCGGAGGGGAAGGTTAACAAATGACTAAAAGCTAGAAGTCGAAATCGCAAAGGAAACGCTCGTCGTTTCGCGGAGTGCGATCGACCATTGCTAATGAGCATATATTCCGACCAGAAATTTTCAGGGGATCAGATAAAAATACCTGGATATTAATAACACTGAACTGGTATCTAATTCTGAATATTCGTATGTAATATCTGAACTTTCAGTGTAGAATATATGTACGCTCGTGCACAACGATTCGTCCCGTCCTTGATAAAGAGGGTAAATCCAAAAGATGCCCATCTTGTTCTAACCTGTTCTAACTAGGACAATACTCACGTAGAAACAATATCAAACTATTACAAATTGAAACATGATTAGCTGGCATAACACGAGCTAAAATCGAAATTATTTGTTTTATCAAAATCTGAATTCTATTTCGCAATTATTTATACTAGTACTAGTCTGATACAGGCATGTGATGATTCCTCCGTATAGAACAAGGTAGATATCTTTTAGACAATCGTTGCCCAAGGATATACATATACCGCTTGGCCGCACGTCGCAAAAGGGACGAAGGACACTATTTATTCGTTGAGCTGAGAAGTTCTCCCTCATGCTGCTTATTCAACGGACCTGGCCCCTTCAGATTGCCATCTATTCCGATCGCTTTAACACCACCTGGCTGATATACACTTTAAAAGCGTGGAAGAGATCCGAAAATGTGTCGACGATTTCATCGATGCAAAGCCGCCGTATTTTTTTTAAAAGGGGATTCGTCAGCTAGCCGATAAATGAAGAAAAGTATTAGAAAATAATGGCTAATGTACGGAGTGATTCAGGACCACTGTGATAAACTCTGAGGAACGATAGATCTCGCAGAGAAAACCATTTTCTGTCAAGCAATCCGTATCTTCTGAATGCGTCGTTCAGAAGTTATGTTTGGGGTGTGTCGTGATCAGCGCGATTGCCTGACTCAACGCCCATTGATATTTTTCTTTAAGAACATATGAAGAGTGTCATGTACGCCATCTCAATTGACACCAGAGAAGAACTCTTCGCGTATTTCTTATTATTATGATAGACTCATCATAGATCCACTTATAATTAGGGTCCTAATGTATTCCCTCCCTGATGAGAAAAAAGTACTTAAGAAATAAAAAAATATGTGAGATACTAATAACATATTTATTCATGCTAAAATAAAATATTTTGCAAATGAGAAAATAGATGTTTTCTTAAAAATCTCAGCTTTTCACGAAAGTAATTGTTTATTCTATTTAAATAAAAGAATTAAGTAAGAGAGAGTATGTCACTGGTACGCCCACCAAAAAAATATATATTATTTTTTAGCAATCTTTTATTTCTCAATGTAGAACTCGATTTATTATCTTACACAAACCTGATAACTAATTAGGATCAACCCATGACTATAGGATAAAGTTATAATCGGGATTGTGTGTCGGTAAGACGCGGCTTTCCCGCGGAAAAATTGACAGCAGGTCGTGTATATTGGCGACGATATTGGGTTAATGTCGGGATGACATAGGCAGTCGTTAAGACACCGTGATTGAATGATCAGAGTTTTTACGGCTTTGAAACAACCGTGTCGCGGCACGGTTTCGCGAGACGCTAATGCGACAAAATTAGGCGTCGGCGCGAATTTTTGCCGTCGAGTTCGGATTTCACTGACATTTATCAGCTATGTAGGTTAAACCCTTTTTCCCACCGACAAAGAGGGTTTACGTGGTGTAACCGCGTCGTCGGGCGTCGCGTGATAAAACCGACGTTAACACACTCATACACACTCGAACACACGCACACACACTTCGGACGCGCTGGAATTTATTATCGCCGCGGGGATCAATCGGATATTCATAATAACGTCACGGCGTAATTTTATATTTTACAACGGTCCAATCGAGCGTGAGCGAGATGTTCTTGCATGCTCGACACTCGTGATTGGTCCACCTGGTCTTCTCTCCCGACGTGTTACCGTCGCACCGTTCGCTGTAAAAAAAATCGAACTCGATGCACCGTGCCAGGTCTCTCCGCTACCGCGGAAAATCACTTTTCCAACGCTAGGGACACGCGTTTTTTCTTCCCACGCTCGTGTTCGACGAACTTTACGAGCGCGCATCCTCTCTCGCCGTTCCGCGGGTAGCTGCTTCCTCCTACGCATCTCTTCTTCTCTTTTTCTCTCCCCCATTTCGTTCTTGTTTCCTCTTTTGTTTAAAGACCCCTGTTCGTTCGGTTTTATGAAGCGCACTCCGTCGTCTTACCGTAAGAAAAGAGAAATATGAATGTCCAAGTGAGTACGCCGCTGTTGTTTACGGGAACTCTCACGAGGCGAGGCTGCAACTTTTAAGACCACTCGCCACTCACAGGTTGGATTCTCGCGGATATATACCGCTCGTTAAGACACCGTGATTGAATTATCAGGTCGTTCGTTAACGGCGATCGTTGCGAAGGTATCGACGCGTATAGCGAAACCATATCACCACGACAACAGTGGCGAGAGAGCTAGCCGTCCGCGAAATTAACTTCACTCCGTGGCACTATGGAGGGAGAATCTCCTGGGACAAGGTGTCGACGTTATTCCGTTTCCATCTCGAGGTACACGGACATAATTTCTAAGATAAAATAATACGACGGAGGCGGAATCGTTAAATGTTAACTGCGATCTGCAATAACGTTACAGTTCGCCAAGTTCGACCCAGTAAACGACATAAGGTGCAAATACCAATACCTGGATGCCACTGATATCTAACTCTGAGCATTCTTATTGTTTTGGTTTTCAAAAATACGAATATACTTAAACTTTTAACCTAGATATATGTATATATGTCGATATATAAGGTATCCTAGATTCGTTTCGTGGAACTTTTAACATAGAATATATGTATATATATTCGATATATAAGGTATCCTAGATTCGTTTCGTGGAAACATAGAATGGATTGAGGTGAACATAAAATCCGTCTTGCGATATTTGCAACAAATCTCGAGATATTAATTAAAGAAACTTGATGAATGATCAATATAGTAGTGCGATATAGTAGATAAACTATAGTGGCGTCGTCTATCGTTGCATATTTATACATTAGATAAAACTAAACAAGAAAGTCCTCTATCATTTTATAGATGTTTAATATAAGATATTAATTAAAGGATATTTATGCATTATCGCGCACAATCATGTAACAATTTTTTTATACTAATAACTAAAAATTTACGTGGTTATTTGCGTTGATATTACTATATCAATGCAGATATAGTGATTTCAACGTAACTTATTGTTGTACCAACGCGTATGTTGTTGAATAGGTACATTATTTTTTTAATAGCCGGTGATCGTTGATTTGATCGATTCAACTGTTTTTCTCAGTGTAAGGACCAAAACAATAAAAATGTTCAGAGTTAGGTGTCAGTGTTATTAATATTGGTACCTTTACTTTATACCCGACTGGCGTTTCAGTTCGCGACTCAGCCAGCCGCGGAGTTCTCGTTTTCGCTCGGAAGGAACATTTTAATCGCGCCTTCTCGCGATGAATAATTCGTGGCTGGCTGTGCGCATGACGGCTGCTGTTGCATTGAAGCGATAAATTAATCGAAGATTAATCGATACACTCTTGCGAGACACCGACGACGACGACGACGACGACGACGACGTGTGAGATAAGAACGAGACGAAGCTCCCCAGGCTCGTCGATATAAACTCACTCGCCGCGTTCTCGTTTACTGCGCAGGCTACGGCAACATTTGTCCCAGGACGAAATGGGGCAAAGTCGTGACTATAGTATATGCGATAGTAGGAATGCCGCTTTTCCTTCTCTACCTCAGCAACATCGGCGACATCCTGGCCAGGAGCTTCAAGTGGACCTACGCCCGTTGCTGCTTGTGCAAGTAAGATCGATTCCCTTTTCTCCTCTCCCTCTCCCTCTCTCTTCTCTCTACCGGCTCTTTCTCTCTCTCTCTCTCTCTCTCTCTCTCTCTCTCTCTCTCTCTCTCTCTTCCTCTCTTACTCTCTCCTATTTCTCTCTATTCGTCTTTCTTCTTTCGCGAAAGCTTTCATCATTCGTACCAATCTTCCCCCGCTGTGTTTCTCAATGGCGTCAAATCAAAACCCGCAACCGCCGTCCGATTAATCATGATCGTGATCCTTCAAGGTGTCGGAGTAAGCCGCACGCTTCGATGAGCGTGGCTGCGTCGGAGGTGCCGAGCGATCTGGCCGCGAAAAGAAATCGATGGCAGGTAAGCGAAGGAACGCCGCGACCCGGAATTCCACATCTCCGCCTGCATTCTAACGAAGAGACGTCATGGAATACGCGAAGGGCGGAACGAAGAGCTCTCGTGAATACGGCGTTCTCGAAATTACCGTCGGAACTCCGCGGCAGATACCTGAGGTCGGGCAGCGAAGAACGCTTCTCGATACGCAAAGGCGTTTAACATGGCTCGCGAATTTCGCAAACAACATGGAAATCTTATTCTTCGCTTAAAAGGAGGTTCTGGTTCAACCGAAAAATAGGAGGCATTTACAAATTTTTTTTTTAAGAAATTAATAAAGATTTAAATTATACAGGCTCTCGGCCATACTGTTTAGCGTTGTTTTAATTGCAAGAAAATTTGTTTTTTATTTAAAAAATTACAATTCCGTCATCCGGGTTTTCTTATGCTGAACGCGTCCGTAGGTAGCAGGGAACATTACAGCTCATGTAATCATCTAAAATAGAAGGGCGAGAACATTTAGAAACTATATTAAATTGCTGGAGAATGGACCTAAATCTTTCGGAGAATTTCCAAAATTAGTATCTTTTCTAAATAAAAAAAAAATACTAAATAAAAAAAAAGAGAGGAAAAATAACATGTGACTTTAAAGTGCTGCCACTTTGTTAAATTTCAACTATATAACAAAGGTTTTTTAGCAAATTTAATGCAATTTTGAATTTTCTTGTCACATCTGTTTAAGATTATTACACGAGCTATGTTATCCATCATAATTAGAGACGTTCGATAACACTGCCTAATAATGTCAACATAGACTTTTGATCATACTATTTATTATTGTTTTAATTGCAAGAGAATTATTTTTTTATTAAAAGAAATTTATATTCCATCGTCCAGGGTTTTTGCGCTCAGCGCGGTGTCGCCAGATGACTCCAACTGGTGGACTACATTACAGCTCGTGTAATAATCTAAAACAGAGGAGCAAGAAAGTATTAAAAAAAAACTATATTAAATTTTCTGGAAGTTGAATCTGAATCTTCTGGAAATAAAAAAAAAAGAAAGGAAAGATGACATGTAACGAAGTTACATTATTTAACAAAATGAAACAATTACATTATTTGACATTACATTACATTATTTACATTAGTTACATTATTTAACAAAATGGCGGCAATTCAAAGTGTCGCTATTTTGTTAAATTTCGCTTTTTTGCATATAACAAAGATTCATCCTTCCGTAAATTTAATTCAATTTTCCAATTTTCTATCCCATTTGTTTAAGATTGTTATATTATTATATGCAATGTTGTACATCAAATGTTTCTTCATTTCTTTGAAAAAAGAAATAAAGATTCATCTACTATTATTAGAAAAATAGGTGTACACTTCCTATTTTTCTGTTCAAAGTAGGACCTCCCCTTAAGAACTCTGGAACGCTGGAAATAGACTTCGAGTTTTTACTTGTTAACTGAGGAGAATGAGTTAAATCGTTATATTTAGGAAGTCTCTTTTTAGAAAAACTGCTCCCTCTCACCGAAAGCAAGACGAGTTATTTCGTCGCGGTTACAAGCATGCGTAGGAAGAACGCGAAAATATCATTTATTTATCATCTTTATTGCGAAAAGTTCAATCTTCCCTAACGCTTCTCGTATTTCCTCCATTTTTGTTCGCTTATATCTTTCACGTTTTTGAATGCAAAGATGACCCGGTTAACAGGTCGACCGATCCGGGGACTTAATCACGAAGATACTCGATACTAGAAATTCATCGTGCTCGCGCGCGTATTTTTCCGAGGAATACGCAAGAGTGGCGCGACGGTAATTTCGGGACACCGTGTGTGAGAGCTGTTCAAACAGCATTTACATCTGCAGATGGTGAACGCGCACGACGGAGTCGGAGAGGTAGACGCCTCGAGTTTGGATCCGGAAGAAACTTCGCCAAGAGACGGCGACGATGAGAACGGCGGCGGCGGCAGCGTCGACGAGGGCGACGGCAATGACGAGGACGAAGACGGCGAGAGCGACAGCTACGATCCTCAGCACGTGACGGTGCCGTTAACTCTGTGTCTAGCTATCATGGTGGGGTGAGTTTCGCGAAATAGAGGCGGAGCAGGAGAGAGATAATCGGACTGCTAATTAACGAATGGAACGACGAGAGACACAAGAGATAAACGAATGAAAAAGAATTAATAGAAACTTAGCTGGCGGACTCATAAACTATCTCTTTCCTTCTCTCTCTCCCTCTTGATCGAGATTGGCTTTGCAACTGAATCTCTTTCCGTTCGAGATAATATTTTTATTAAGCTAAAATCTCGGAATATGAGAGGATTTCAATACGGGAATAAAATATGAATATTTGACATGTCTAAAAGGACTCGGTAGAAATATCTCTAAAGTTATGAATTCTTGCTTCTTGGGACGAAAAATTCATTTCATGATTGTTAAACTTTTCTCTCTCTTTCTTTTAAATTAAGATTTCGTTAATATATAAAATTTCGAAATATAAAGTGCAATTTTGCAATACGAAGCAACATTTCTTTTTTACATTATTATCATGGTGAATCAAAGGGAATTTAATTTGGGATATTCCGAGATATATCGGAAATGGGCTCCCAAGTCGCCGAGACTCGTTTCCTATCGCAAATAAAATATTCTGTTAAAATTCCTATTCAATACTTCGAGAATACTGAAATTCCGAAATATAAACGTAATTAATACGAGATGTCATGCTTTGGCGTTATTAGAAATACCCGACGTGAATTCCGTTCGGAAAATGATAAATTTTCGAGATCGGAAATTGACCTCGAGATCGCCGAATTCGCTCATTCCGATCCGGGTAAAAAATTCTATTGGACTGAAATTTCGAAGCGCAACTCCCCTTCGCGCCCGGAATCATACTGACTTCGTTCAGTGATCAGCTCGCGCGGATGACACGGGAAAATTCCGAGAGAATCACCGGTTCACGAAGCCGACTGACAGCAACTGACAGCCCTCCGCGCGTCCCTTTGCTGTCGACAGGTATATCTTGGGCGGTGCGGTTCTGTTCTCGATATGGGAGGATTGGAACTTGTTGGACGGTTCTTACTTCTGCTTCGTCTCTTTGTCGACCATAGGCTTCGGCGACTTCGTCCCGGGCGATGAGATCTACTCCGGGCAAGGCCTCGAGTTGTCTTTCATCTTCTGCTCTATGTACCTGATGCTGGGTGAGTCTTGCATGTGACACGTCGCGTTCTGTTACACTGACGGATTAGTTTAAACGCGCGCATTTAGGAGCCCGTAGCGAGAACTGCCGGTGTGTTTCCTTCAAAGAAGCTTCTCCGGACTGCCTCTTTTCCCCTTGCCCCTTGATAAATAAACTCGCGAATGCGGGTGACCGGAGGCGCTCTGTGCTACATCCGATTATTCTATGAGGAAAAAAAATACCGTGGGAGCACAGACGAGGATCGCTAATATTCGCCAAGTGTAACATGCGAAAACTCGAACTCGCTTGGCAAATGATAGAAGCGCGCGTCGAGAAATGAAAGAGCGAATATTCTAACTATCTTTTTCTATCTCTCTTACTATTTTTTTTTCGATCTCTTCTTAAAATTTTTTCAACCGTTAAACTGCAAGAAAAAATATTTATTGTGATTATTAATAACATATTTACTTAGATTTAGATTTTTTAAATAGAATAAACAATTGCTTTCATGAGAAGCAACGATTTTAGGAAAACATATGTTTTCTTATTTCAATAAAATGTATGTATAAACACACAAAACAAGAATTAATATTCAAGACTAATATCTTTTCAAAGTAATAATTATTATTTTATGTATAAATAACGAAATATAATTTTGTTAAAAGAATTTGAAAATTTTGAATTTCAACAATGATAATAATATACTCTTCCGACATTTTAATATACTTTCCGACATAATAATATACTTTCCGACTTCCTCAATCCAATATTTTGTGTTTTCTATTAATAACAATTATTCCTTAATAATAGGAATACATTTCTCTTCTCGTACACTGAGGGAAAAATTATCTTAAAATCAACAAATATTTTTTTTATGGGTGCCATTAACATATTTACTTAAATCTAAATTCTCTTTATTTAAATCAAATATTGTTTACCTGATTTAAGTGAAGTCATATAATATCCTTGCAAATAACACTACGTTTAACGCTACGTAATCTCATTTTAAGATGAACACATCAGACAAAAAGATATTTGCTGAACAAGAATGTTCTTTTTTATTAATAAGAAAAATTTGTAGGCAAATGAGAGCCAAAACGCCGATAGAAAATCGAATAATAGCAGCAGTAGGTGAAAGTTCAAACTGTACTTATTAATTTCTAATTTTTTGGTTTTATGTTCCTTTTTTCTGTACATACATATTAGTATAATAAGTTATTAGTAGTCATCAAATAAATATTTCTTATCTTTTGGAAATTTCTTCTCTCAGTGTACATTTTCGGGGTACAGAGATACCTCGAGTTCGATGTCGGATGACTGAATTCGTCACCAGAACAGGACAGACGTCAATCGCGCTGCAGATCAGAATATTCGCGATGCCTCGGCTGGCATCGTACATTTGTGTCGACGTTAATCGCGAGATGAAAATACAGTTAGACTGCCTTTGTTTTCCCGACAGATCCGATTGCCGCGGAATTTTCGGCGCGCAACGGCGCGACGCGAAGACAATCGTTGGCTAAAAAGTGATCAGCTGCTTTAAAGCCCGCAACGCGATTACACACCGGCCACGACTACGGCTCTCTGCGTGTCGCGAGCGCATTACGTTCTTTTCAATCAATGCTCGCGCAGATTTTTCGTAGAGATATTCCAGTATTGTCAAATACTCCGACCGCTTCCACACGAATGATTGCTCTCTCTCTCTTTGTCTCGCTTTCGCTCTTCTTCTCCCTCTCTCTCCTCTCTCTTTATTTTTTATTTTCCTCTTCATATATATTTTTATTGTACATAATCTTTTTTGCAACTTTTATTATATTTGTATTTGTATTTTAATATATTGCGCACACTATATAATCTATATGCTTGAGGGAGTAAATCCCAGGACGCCAATAAACATCTTTCTCTCTCTCTCTCTCTCTCTCTCTCTGTTTCTCAACTTGCAGAACAATTCGCGCGATGGTACTCGAGGCACCGTAAAATCGCGACCTCCTCTGTAATTTCCACACCCAAGAAGATGGTATTAACGAACGTCACGTACTGGTAACGTGTTTCTGTGTTTCAGGCATGGCGCTAATCGCCATGTGCTTTAATCTCATGCAAGAGGAGGTTATTGCAAAGATGCGGGCCTTGATGCGCGGCATCAAATACGTCTTTAGGTGCGAGAGATGACGAACGCGCTTCTCACCGTGATCCTGCACCTCCACGATAATCGGTAAGGAGACATTTCTCTTATACTCGCTCTCCTTCTCCTCCTTCCGCGCTCACATTGATATGAATTTGCGATGATTCTTGATCGTATCGATAACAACTTACTCGTTCTAACTTCCTCTAACTGAATTCTAATATCGAATGTTATTGGGGTAAGTAGAATTTGACGAGATTTCTCACCGTGTTCGACAGATTTAAGATGGAAACCTGACGTTAAACTGCGAATCCATAAATTATACTGCATAAATTATACTGCAATTTGCGCGAGAGTACGAGCGTAAGTATCGTGTGCGGATTTTATTATTCACGTTGAGCAAATTGCTGCTGCAGCCTGGGTTTTCGCTTCATTTGTAACGTCGACAAGATAAGCAAGCCATGAAATCACTCTAATTAATTTGATTACTTGAGGTATCTTGTTATTCGTTCATTTTATGATATCATTAATTACGATATCATTAATATATTCTATTAAATATATTCGATTAAATGTGTTAATTATGTCTCCGTTAATTTCTTACTAATTCAATATTTAGCGCATTTTCACGCCACGGAGAGTCACCGTGCGTCGTCGAAAGTTGCTATTGTCACATGCGCAATTGATTATTCAACGGGGAACTCATCTGCTCATGAGGGAGCAGAAGAAACGATTCGATTCGTAATTAATCGGAATGCAACCGCAACCGAAGGGATTCGTAACGAGATGAAATTATTCTCCGTAATTAACGGACCGCCGTTGGCGCACATTACGACCGTTCATCGATCGCGATGAACTCAGGTGGGAGATGGAATTTCTTTCATAAATCGAACTAATGACACGAGGGACGAACGCATCGTAGCATGAGACGATGTCATTAAAAACCGCACTGTCATTTTTCACGAGGAACATTTATCCGGGCGCGATCCGCGGGAGTTATCGTGATGAGAAGTGTCTTTGATATTCCCGACGTCTCTCGAAATCCCACCGAAACGTAGACACGTGAATAAGCAAAGGAGCAAAGGCGGCCAAACGATCGAGTAGAAACACACGCGACAGCCAAGAGCGTAGATGATAAACGATAAATTCTGCACGAGCCTCGGCGTCGCGAGGAGAACGTTAATACTGTGTTAGCGCTCCTTCGCGAAAGAGGAGGAAAAGAATAATTCAGCTCGTCCATTCCGACGTAACGTAGCATCATTGAGGAGATAAAACACCTTTGCTGCGCGCGTAGAAAGCTTCATTTTGAAACTTTGTAACTTTCTCACCTCTTGATATTTTATTATCCAGTCCGGCATTATTGTACTAGCAAAAATAGGTAAATTGGAAAACGAGAAATGAAATAATGCCGAAACAGCAGCTGCTTCTTTCCTTTTTCATAGCGGATCTGTGTAATAATCTTACTTGTACATTTCTGAATAGAACAAGAAAAATGATCGCGAAGAGAATTTTTTAGTAAAAGTTGCGTAAAAATTATTTTGTAACCGAGGAATAACTCGCAGTAATTCGTTATCCTTCATTTCATATGTGCTGCTTATACCTTGGGAATTGAAATGTACTACTAAAACATTTGCGATGTTCCCAGCGAAATCTGCTATGTTTCTAACGGGATTTGCTATGTTCCTCAGTAAGATGGACTCTACTGATAGTCTACTCCTGGACTCCCTCCTACAAAAACATAATAAAATTGAAAAGCATTTACATGAAAAAAAGCTATAATATTATTCCCGTGTACATTCTCAATTTACAATATATTCTTCAGATATTGTCATAGCTGCTTTTTTATTTGCGATTGTACTAATATGTCCAAGTTTATTTTACAGAAAAATACTTTTTATTAAGACACTTTCTTAATAACTTTGGCCTGAAAAATTATTTAAAAAATCGGCTACGATAACACTTAAAGCATTTACTGCAAATTGAGAATGCATTTTTTCTTTTTCCATTCAGAAATTTTTACAAGAGGATATCAGGTCCACCATGAAGAAAGAGAGATTTTACGGAAACTGCTACTGTCTCGCTATTATCTTATTTTTCATTTCCTAATTTACAGAACATTCTTATTAATATATAATGGTCATACAAAATTTCACAATAAAATATAAAAAAGCAAAAAATTATGAATTTATGTTTCCCATTAAGTTTTGAATTTATGTTTTCCATACAAACAGCAATGTTTTAACCCCTTAGGTGTTTTATTCCTCTAAGGGAATGCTGGATATTGACATAATGCAACTTTCGTATCTTGCAATGTTTTTCTATTTGGTCGTATAAAATTGTAAATACTTACGCAGAATGAAAATGTAAATGTCAGTATATGGCGGAATATCTCATGTATAAAAAACAAGAACATTTGTAGCTTGTAAATAAAAGATATTTTTTAACTTTTTACATATATGAGGTACTCACAGATATTTATATTTTCTCTCTACACAAGCATTCGCGATTCTGCGCAACCAATAGTTCAAAATACGAAATTATATCAAACTATCAAACAAATTCTATTAAATTAAAACGGCTCAAGGGATTTATATATCAATTCTAAAGGACGATAGGAGCCAAAATACGCTGATGTTAATAATGTTAAATGTTAACGTTAATAATTTAAATAATAATTGACAAATAGTCAATTAATAAGTAAAATAAAATAAATAAAATAAAAATTAAAATTAAAAATTATTGAACTAATAATTTTTGAGCTTCATTATTTATCGACGTTGAAGAATGTTTCCATTCATTACGAAGACCACTTATATACGGATCTGAAGAAATTAAAAGTTTATTTATAACAACTTTATTTGTGGCACATCTATTATGCTTATGACTATATTAAATACTCTGAAATTTTCAAAATCTTTGTTTCATGCTTCTTGTACTATTTCAATTAATCTTTTTATTTTATTTATTTTTTTTTATTTTATTTTATTTATTAATTGACTATTTGTATTAAATTATTAACTATATTATAGTTAATAAAGCGTAAGTTAACACCAGCGTATTTTGGCTCCTATCACCCTTTAGAATTGATATTGCATTATATCAGTTGCGGCGTTCTCTTAACCTTTTACTGCTCACTGTGACTCTGAAGTCACACTCCAATTTCATCATTATTTATCTACAATATGAATGTTGTTCCTATCCTGACCGATGTGACATGAAAGTCACAATATGCCTGTTTTTAATATGTTGGTAACGATAGTAACTGCCTAACGTGATCGGAAAGTCACAAACCTATTTTGGGAAAGTAAAAAATTAGAAAATTTCACCTTGTATGTGTTGAGTACTTTAGTTTTAAACATCTTATGTACAAGAAAAATTTTTTAAATATAAGGAATTAATTTGGACAGAGTAGAGGGTTAACGTAAAAATATCTGTTCCACGATGTCGGCCTGAGAACGCCGACGGACGCAATAATCACTGCAAAGAATTTTCGACGAGGATCTTGTCGTTTTTCCCGAATTGTGCGCATCTTCGGAATTCCTCGAGCGCATTTATCGGCTCGTTTATTGAGGCGAACGTTCCATCGCCCGTCGTCCCGTCGGTCGGCGTAGGAAAATAGAGATCCGACGTCGTCGCGCGCGAAATATATCGATACCAACGCATAGTGGGGTCAAACAACATTTCGTGTTTCAAAAAAAAGTTACAGTCCCTAAATTTGAACTGATTTCGATGTTTTTTCCTTAAATTAAAGATAATAAAATTTGAAACAACTCTATGTAGCTAAACTTTTGTTTTTCTGCTTTCCTTCTTTATAAAATCAATCTAAATTTAGTAAATAACCTAGATTTAATAAATACTTTTTCTTCAATCAAACTCATTTCGTATTTTCTCTCACTTAATATCAGGCACAGATATTAATATTGAATCTAAATATTCAAACTTTGATTACGCTTGAAAAAAAGCCTATATATATAACATATAGTCTCACTAGATTATATTTGAATTTAATAAATAAGATTAATTGAAATAGTGCATAATTATTGCAATAAAAACTACTGAATTAAGCAAGACTGAATTAATTACTAATACGTTGTAAATTTTTTTAACAATTAATATTCTTGAACTAATCATTTTTGAGCTTCATTATTTATCAACGTTGAAGAATGTTTCCATTCATTACGCAGACTATTTATATACGGATCTGAAGAAATTAAAAGTTTATTTATAACAATTTTATTTGTGGCACATCTATTATGCTTATGACTATTAAATACTCTGAAATTTTTAAAATCTTTCATGCTTCTTGTACTATTTCAATTAATATCGTTTATTAAGTTCAAATATAATTTAGTGGGACTATATGTTAGTCTATACGATTTTTTTCCAAGCCTGTAATCAGAGTTTGAATATTTAGATTCAATATTAATATCTGTGCCTTTAAATTAAATGAGAGAAAATATGAAATAAGTTATTAGTTTGATTGAAAAAAAAGAAGAACTTGAAATCTAATTTTTTGTGTTGATTTTCTAAAGAAGGAAAACGGAAAAACAAAAATCTACATAAGGTTGTTCCAAATTTTATTACCTTTATTAAAAAAAACGCATCAAAATCGATTCAAATTTAGAGACTGTAGTCTTATTTGAAACACGAAATGTCGTTTGGCTCCACTGTGCGATGTATCGGATGCTGTATCGGGGCTGTCGTTTTCGCGTCGAATTGCCACCAAGGAGAACGAATTGAGAACGGAGGATCGGGCAGCGCGCAGAAGGTCGGGGCTTTAAGGAGATTCAGGGGCCTAAATGAAGCGGCGGAACGAGGTGACGAGGAGGAGGAGAACCTGAACGACCGTGCGTCACGGAGCGTGCGGGATGCGGGGGCGGAAACTGTATTAGGATGAAACCGCGACGAATACGAATGTATTCGCGGCGGCTGAAAGCGATCAAGCGTTCGCGTGAAGCAGGCTGGCCCACTTTCGCGCGCGATTATGAATAAAATTTCGGCCGTCGCGCCGATACAAGATCGAGAGTCCATCTATAGTCGAGACACTCCCGCACACACGACCACTCGACATCCCCGTCATCGTCATCCCGAGCGGGGACACATCAAACGGGGACATGGCGAGATATTCCGACCGGCTGGCCCGCAAATCGTGATATCTCTTGCGAGCTAAGCGCGAGACGCACGGCAGACACGTCGCGTATATAAGCATATCGCGACGCGCTAAAAGCGGACGGACTATTTATCGGCCATCGATTTCTTTGATTGTCGTTCGTGCCCGTTCGAGCCGCGAATCGCGAACACTCGGGGGAATTTTTGCAGCGTCAGCGACGAAACCGGAGTGGAAGCAGTATACCGAGAGTAAAAAACGATTGATCTAACTGAAATTATTAGAGAGATTTTTCGTCCCACAACCGTATTTCTTGGTTGTACGACAACATGAAAATGTTGATAGTAATAGTGGTAATAATATGTATGAGGCCATTATCAATGGTGGTAGTAATGGTGGTAGTAATATGCAGAACAGGTCATTACCACTAACATTACAATGTAGGATTTAATTAAAAAACAGGTTCCCTCTACCATAATTTGTAGCGATTGTTTTTCTATGTATTTATATGTAGTTACAAATACCAAGCACTTTTTCCTCGGTGCGGTTTCAACCGCGGCCATTTTTGCGCGGAGCGTGTTGCTTATAATATTAATGAGGCTCTCGCTAAAAAGTCGATCGAGGTTCTTCTAGAAGCATGCGTGCGCGTGTTCTGTTCGTCTCGAATTGCGAAATAGCACACCACGATCTTGCATTTTATTGCGCCCTACTTCGGGCGCGCAACGTGTTAATGCGAGTATCTGGAAAACTGCGAGTGAGTCCCGTGGAGGGTGACACCTACTTCGTCTAGCTAGTCTATCCCCGGCGAGCGATCGTGCCTTTCGAGGGCTCCACGAGAGAGGAGAGAGAGACCGACGGCGTTCGACCTCCCCGGTCGCGTCGTCACCTCGAGTCGAGCGCGACAAGAGGACTCGCGAAGAGGGACAGCGAAGAGCGAGACGAGGAAGAGAGAGAGAGAGAGAGAGAGAGAGAGAGAGAGATGAGTGGAGGGAGAGGGAGGGGAAGGGAGAGAGAGTCGCACACAGGGAGAGAAAAAGAAGGAGAGTGACATTTATCGGAGATCCGAGAGACAAAGTTTCTCCTACAACGCGAAGCGAACGCGGATCGCCGTCGTCGCCGGTATAATTTAGTAACGGAGATGAAAAAAAGCGCACCGATGCGTACGCGATGAGAAAGAAGAGCAAAATTCACCGAAAAGCGAGATGAGAGAGAGGAAAGAGAGAGAGAGGGAAAGAGGGAGAGAGAGAGAGAGAGAGAGAGAGAGAGAAAGGAAAAAAGAGAGCGTTATTTATTCGGCGCCAGACAGCACAAGAAAATCAGCACAACGCGAAGTAAAATTATCTGACATATATATCTATAATATTACTTAATATACAAAAAGGGAAAGAGTGGGAAAGAGAGAGAGAGGGAGAGAGAGAAGGAAGAGCAGAGGGAAGTGAAGCGGACAGAGAGGGAGAGACCGGGTCGACGGAACGGGGCTGCGACTACGCGTTTCCCGCATGCGGCCCTCCGCGCTTTCAGGCCGTGCGATGTACGTCGCACATGCGCCACGGCCACCCCCGGCGAGAGACGGAGAGCGATCCTGCGCCCTGCCGTCGCCACGGGGGTGCGTCCGTACGAAGCCGGCGGTACACTCCTCGCGAAACGACGAGGCGCCGTTCGCTGGCCGTCGCTCTCTCGTGCCACCAGCTCCTCTCTCGTATGCACGTCTCTCGACCTCATCTCTCGCGGATCGAAGCTCTCCGTCTCTCTGTCCCTTTCTCTCTCTCTCTCTCTCTCTCTCGCTCACCACTCTCTGCCTCCCACCGTCGCGTTCGCGATCTCGATCCGGGGTGGATCGTCGATCCCGAGGACCCCATCGTCGAGCGAGTCGCGCTCTATCGTCCGCCGTCGGCCGTCGCTCCGTATCGGCTTGCGCGAGTCCGAGCGTCTCGGGACGAGTGACAAAGGGATGTTTTGAGTGCAACAAGGGTGTAGATTCGGGGGCGAGGGTGGGCTCAGCAAGTGTGTTTTGCCGCAGCGAGTGGACGCTGGCTAAGAGGAGGACTCGCGAAGATAGAGCGCCGCGGACGAAGAAGACCTCCTCCTTGTCGTCGCCGCCGCCGCCGTCGTCGTCGTTCCTCATAGATAGAGCGGAAAGCTCGATGGAGTTTGCGGTGCCCCCGGCTCGACGTTGCTAGAACAAGTGCGAGTACGAAGATCGGAGACGCCAACGACGACGACGACGACGGTGGCGGTTTCTCAGGAACAGGCTGAATCCTCCTCGAGCGAGGATACGATGAAGATTTCGCGGTGCCGCGCGTCGTCCTCTGCCGCCGTCGCGATCCGTCGCTCGCGATTCTACCGCAACAATCTAATAACGACTTAAAGCTTCCACGGCGAACTCTGCCGAGACCGCTCTGCAGCGAGTGCTTGAGTAGATGTTGCCCGTGAGTCTCAAGAGGCAGGACAAGATGGACAACGGCCTGGAACTGAGTGAGTAATGCGACGGCAGTTAATCCCTCGGTAAATTTTTCATGATGCCGCGATAACGACGCTGACGACGCGAGAAACTCTCAAGGATAATCGATAAATAGTTGCGATTTGCTTGATCGCGGACACGCAATCACTTATCTTTTCGTGATTATTCACGAAATCACGGCGGGATCAGTAGCGATTGTCGTAATAGGACTGATGGAGAGACCCGTACGATCGGCGCGCGATCATTGTTCGTACTTGCTCGATGATTGTTTCATTTAATACTGGCTTTAACCACCCCGGCGTTGCCTAGGAGGCTAGGTTATCACGAAGTGTCAAGGGGACAAAATCAGGGGCAGAGGGGGTGGGGTGTTACGGTAGGCTATATCTTCCGTCAGAGTCCTGGAGAGTAACTATGCAAAATTCGGTCCAGATCCGTCAAAGGGCTTAGGAGAGTCCAGGAGAGTATTAACATACAGATAGAGACGTTATACATATATATGTATAAATTTTTGAGTTCGTGCTTTCAACACGTGCGGTTGCAGACACGATTAAATACTGTAACCGCGCGATTGATATCGCCAGCGACTGATTCAATTTTCGTGTCGAATCCGCTTGAAATTAATCACCTCATGTGTCCGCCGATCGATCGGCCATTTTTCATATAAGGGACGCCTCTCGCGACAGCCCCTCAGGAATAAATAACGGAAGTGATTCGAGGCGATCGTGCCCGGGGGATTTCCTCGATGATGCCGGGCGTTACCGTGGATTGGACGGATCGGACGCGGGGGCCATTAAGTAAATCGCGTCGCGATAACGCGCGGTTTATAATCGGCGATGTCGCGGCGACGGAATTTACGATCGCTCTCCTCGGGGACGACGGCGAGGAGACGTCGATGACGACGACGGGAACGAGAGAATAGGCAAATCACGCTAAATGGATCCGCAGGCCGCGACAGAAATAGACGGGAGAGCGCGCGAGCACTCTCAATCTCGGGAGCCGATCTAAGCAGCGAGTCGCTCTAGTCGGCCAACAGTTGCTTCGACTATCCGTCGATATCAGGCCGCGAGTGAATCGAGTCGGCGATAGTCGGACGGTACGAGGCAGCCGTAAGTGATACGGATCGATCGTGGTTATGCGATATCGGGCGCAAGTGACGCGATCGTACCGTAACCGGATGCTATCGCGAACAAGTGGTACATGTCAACCATAATCGGACGCTATGAGCGACAAGTGATGTAGACCAATTACAATCAGGAATCGCTGATTCGCCTTCCC